CCCCCCCCCTAATTTTCCCAATTGACTTAGAGCGAATCGACTAGTTGCAAACGATTTTTAAGTTCTGACTAAAACAATTGCTTGTGATCCAATTGGAAACAAAAAAATCTTACCAACTCCACGGAGTTTAGACTGCAGCAAAGATATATTCTTGTCCATTTCCTTCAGCTCTGACTTGTATTTGTCCAACATACGAATGTCTGGTTCCATATCTCGAGCACTCTGCGCCTCGCTTTCGGTCAAACTCTGAACATCTTCAAGCTTAAGAGAGGAAGAGTCAACAGTTAGGTTTATGTCAGTTTGGATCACTGTACAAATGAATAACAAAGGCTACGATGGGAAACAACTGTCTTACATAAACAAAAGTAAGAACTACTTAAAATAAAAAACAGCAGTGCAAGGTGAAACATGAAGCCTTACATTGCGAGAAAAAAAAAGCTGATTTGAAAGCAAGACAGGTGTGTCAAAAATAACTTTCCCTGCAAAACTCAACATTTTTCGTTTTACCTCCGTTATCTTATCCTCGATTCTTTGTATCTCACTTGCGATCTCTTCCAGTTTAGATTTGGCCTCAGGAATTCGGTTGTTTTCCAGTTTTTCCAGCTAGAAAAATTGATAAACAGCAGGTTATGTCTATGGAGATGACCAGTAACTAATTATTCGAGTTACATGCGATTTTCAAAGTTCTACAATCTATCTATCAGTTGACAGACTGTCTAATTGATGAACTGGCTGACTGACTGACCGACTTACTTACTGAAGGACTGTTGGACTGACGGCCTGATGGATTGACTGACGGACTGAGGGACCGACTGATTAGCTCACTGAGTGATTGAGGGACTAAGTGACAGTCTAACCAACCCATCGGCCGACCGACCGACCGACTAACTGAATGAGTGAGCGACAACGACCAACTAAATTGTCCGAATGATTCGAAAACTGTGTGCAAGGCACAACGTTGTTCATACTTACAGTTTCTTTTGCTGGGGCCAGCTCAATGACGCGATGAAAGCGTTTTTGCTCTTGGTCGAGCTCTCTTTCCATCGACTCTCTTCTCTCGGGGAGATCTCGAATCTTATTTCTCAACTACAAATTAGAAGAAGGACAGTGAATCCCTGAACTAGGGAAATTTTCTGCAGTTTAAAAATGTGAAATTTGAACAAGATCACAAAAATGTTGATAGAAATATGTTTACTTTGTCCCTCGAAATTCACGAGCAATTCAACTATTTTAATAGCCTCTAAATCGCGCGAACGCTTGTTGGACGATTTTACCCACATGGGGCAAGTTTCTCAAAGAGTGCTTAGAGCGAATTTTCATGAAAAAGTAATGAATAAACATCATGCAATTTCTCCTAGCTCGAAATCATCCTTCGTTTTCATGCTAACATCGCAGACTTGATGTTTATCAAAGACGAGTTTCTCTACTAAAGGCCTCCTGGTTTTCGCAAATATCCCCAGGAAAATTTATGAACTAAATACCTCTGAAACAAGAGCAGTAATCTGCCTGTCACTATCAAAGGTTCTATGACACAGAGGACAGCCACTTGAGTGGACATCTTCACTATCCAGTTTAGAAACATACTTGGAGTAGATTTTCTCCAATGAGCCGATGATTCCTCGTTCACTATGAAATGCATCAAAAGCACACAAATAAAACTGTGAACATGTCACGTCTTTGAGTCTTGCAACCCATGAATATCATTGCATTTGCCATATTTAGTGATACGATAAGAATCTACAGTTTGCTATGCAAGTTAGGCGTAGTCGCTTATGTTGTCCTTCGGTAGCATTTCAAAGTAGCATAATAGTTTCCAGTGAAAATCAAATGCGACTTAAAATTCGCCGATCCACAGAATCACTATGGACAGAAAACATTTTGTAGCACAGCTAAATAAGGGAAGATGAGTGGTGATACACTGGTACACAATGTTACAAAACAAGGTAGCCTCCTACCTGATAACATCAATCACGCTTGAGTACTTACTCTTGTAGATTTGCAATTCTGTCCTTGATGGTTTCCCTTGTGGTGTTGTAATCATTTTCCCCACAGACCTCAGAAATTTGCTTTTTGTGCCGCTGTGCTTCTTTCTCTTTGTCTTGTAGGTTTTCTCTGTGTAACAATAATTACGTCAAGACAAGTTTTAATCGTCTAACTGGACACGTTTTAATTTAGGCGTACCATGGAAGCACAGTGTATTCCTAAAACACCGAAACACTTTTGCGTCACGCACATTTTCTCAACCACATGATTATTCAGTTTTTGTCAGAAAGGAAACGATCTAAGCATAAAATTTCATTTTCAATGTTATTGACCAATGTAAACTGGGGCTACTGAAGAACGATGGGCGGGCTGATCATTCGCATAAAATAAATAAATACACAAATTAGATATCCTTCGGTTGGCCACGCTTGCAGCGCAATGATATTGAGCGTCGTACAATGAAAACTAAACAAATGATCACAGCTTATCAGAACAAAGCTTACATCACGAGGAGCCAATAAGTACTCAAAGTAATTAACTTAACACGAAGCGCGGGTAAATGCAGCTCACCAAGCCGTGATTGGTTCAATTTTTGCACCTGATTGGTTGAGAGCGGCACGAGTTTTCCTTACCTATCACGCTTCGTAGTGAAATAGAATCAGTCTAGTGCATTCCCAAAAGGCCCCCCGGTACTAAGTTGAAAACTGTTTTAATGCATCGTTTAAATTGATGCAACACATCATAGGCCATGTTTTACGTGCGTAAAGACAAAAATTTTGAAGCGCAATGTAAACGAAAGTGTACTGTGTTTCGTCCCATTACATTCAGTGCTAACGAGTACTACTTACAAAATCATCCTTTTATGCGTTTGTGTCGAAGAAAGCTGTTGTTTCAGTTTCTGTAGATTATTTCTGGAGTCTTTTAATTCTCTCTCTTTTTTTCTCAGGTGTTCTTGTAGTCTCGTGTAAAGGCTCTCTGATGTGCCCCGTCCACCAAACGTCGATTTCAGGTCTTCTTCGTGGCGATCCATGCTGCATAAAAAAATGGCAAACAAAAGTAGTCTAGTCCAGAGCTTTGCAGGTTAAAGAGAAAATAAAGGAAACGGATCAAGTCATAAAATTCATTTAAGGTGTAAAAAATATTTATCCATGAGTCATTGCGGCCGAAATTAGGGATTAGTCATCATTTATCGCCAGGGGGGTGGGTGGTGGCGGTGGTGTGTGGAGGAATTTGGGGGGATCCCATGGTTTTCAGAGGGAGTGTAAGGGTATCAGTCGTCTCTAAAAGAGTATAAAGAGGGGGACTAAGGAGAACCGACTGCCAATTAACTGCAAATGAGGGGGAGGGGTGGGGGGAAGGAAATCATGAAACTATAACAGAGCATCTGAAGGGAGTCAGTAAATTTTATCGTGACAACCAAAATCCTCCAGCCCGTCCCCTCCTGCCCCCGCTTCCGCCACAACACTTTGGCTACGATGGTTTTATTACCCACTTCTCAAGAACTTTTTGGTGTGCATTGTCCTTACATTTTTTGTATAGCATCCTCTTTGTTGTTTTTCTCCTTGGAGAGCATGTCCAGTTTAGCCTGCGTGGTAGACTGCATGTGCATAGCCTGCTGTTCTTCCCGTAACTGGCGCAGTTCATTATCAACCTTACGCTTTTCAGTCTGAAGTTTATCAATGTCTTTACCCAAGTCATCTACGTTACCACTCTTTTGAGCATCTTGAAGATCCCTTTCCTAGAAGTTGAAACAAATATTTGCAAATAACCCTATTATCTTCTTTCATATTCCCTTCAAGTATCAAAGTAAATACTGATAATGAAACTTTCTTTGATATTCTTCACTGGTTTCAAAAAGAAAGAAGGGGGTTGGGTAAATGAGTTCTTTGTTATTAGTGCACATCTGTAGCGCTGGTTAAGATGGTTAAAAGCTTTAAATCCGTTTCCGTGCTGCATTCTTGAAAACTCCGGGTAATGTGGAAGGGACCCTAGATGTCTAGATAAATATTGCTTTGACTCCAGCTATAGTAGCAAGCTTCTCATAGCAAACGCACCGCCCTCTGTAGTTCCTCCTCCAATGTCTTTAGTCTGTTGGCTGAAGCGTCTACGTTACTCAATTCCTGGCCGATTTGTCTCAGCTTCTGTTGATTTTCTCTCTGTTAAAGCAAGAACAGTATTCAGTAAGAAAGTAGAATATATAAATTAAAAGCACACATATAAGGGAGGAAGAGGCAGACAAACACAATAAAACTATAAACTAGAAATATTAAATGGTTTGAAACCGGAGATGTCAGTTGATCTTGCATAGTGATCGTTTAGGTGCGGGAAAAAAAGTTCCGCTAAAAATGCTTCATTACCATGAGTTTGGTCTTGAGTCGAATAGTTTCCTCGCACTGAGCTTGACTTTTCTTCACATCATCAAGCTTCGCTTGTACTTTGTTCAAATTCTCCTCAAATACTTGCTGTCGAATGTACAAAAAATTGAAATATTACCAAGGGTACTGAAGACGAGTAAAACAAGAGAAACTTCAAGAGGGCTGAAATAAGATTCATTCTTTACTTTAACTTTGCCCTGCGCGCAAAAAAAACGTGTAAACATCGTTTTTCAATTGATGACAAAGCTCTCGTGGAGTCTCAAAAGTTTCCTCTAAGTCTCACGCTTGTAACAAGAAGAAAAACATTTTCTTTGTTTTTATGCAAAACAATCGTCAAATATGAACCTTGTGTAATATTTTGTCTGGCTAACCAATGAGGCCTCTACAGCTCAGTTGGTAGAGAAGCGCAACACCAAAAATCAGGACAGACACAGGTTTGCATCCTTACGAGGTATCAGGTATTCATTGTTGTTGTTTTACTTTGTTTTGTTTTAGTTTTCTTTAAACGATAGTGAAACAGTTGAAGCATTGTCTTCGAGTTTTGGCCTTGCAGAAAGCCTTAGGTACAAATAATGCTTGTATTAACGTCATCTAAAAACACAAGACAAAACGAGACAACTTAACAAGTGCTTAATACGGTGCAAGATCACCGTTTGCTCTCCTATTACAAGACTAACTCCTTACTTTTTGACGTTTTGCGTTTTCAACAATATCTTGGAATTTCCTCTTCATTTCACCAATGAACTGATCTACTCTGTCCTCCGAAAAAGGGCCTTCTTCATAACCTTCATAAAATACGAATATGTCAAATTGTAGTCAGCGTTAAATTACCTCACCTGTAGTTAGATTTAGCCTTAGAGATTGTGAAGGAAAAATTTGTTTGAATAAAAAAAAGTGAACAAAAACATTAAAAAATTCTGGCATGCCTGGCATGTAAACATGCATCTTCAAAGCTTAACCCTGTTGTTGGGAAACGAAGTAACTGAGATTATTACTTTCCCTTCTCAAGGGTTTCAATAACTTTTTCCACGAGCAGCTGCCGATAGGTGTAAAAGACGGCTCTGCCGTCACGCGTAACCCAAACACGAGGGCCTCAGTGCTCGCAGGATAAACAAACGACAGTGAGAGGTCTTATGGGCAGCGGTAGACCGCTGGTAAGCGACTTTCACTGAAACACCTGCCTTCTGGATGGGATGTGCCTGTGCATAAAAGTTAGCCCCCAGCATTTCATCAGATTTCGATGACAGTTCTCCGGCTCCCATTTATTATCCTACCTAGAAAGAGGCACTATGAGTGTAAAGTGCTCCGCCAACGAACATTGGCAACAAGACATTGGCCAGCTGCTAAGAATCCAACCTGGTGCTTGAAGTCTGATCCACGTAGGGAAACTTTTGACCACAGAGATTTTGAAAACCATACCTAACCATTATCTGAAGGGTAAACCTGACACTCCGATGCAGAGCATGGATTCAATACACAATTAAAACAAAGTGTTCGCTACTTTACCTTTAAAGCCATAATCCTCAGCAATCTTTACAATAATCTGATTTCTTTCGATTAGATTCTCCTCGTGCCTCTGTAAATCATATAATGCAAACTTATATTAAGTTCTGTTTGTTGCTTCAAATGCAGTCCTAGTCACAACTGTTACTTCTGAATTTTCTCGCGCACGGTCAACAAGTATCCCATCTAGGGAGGGAGTATCAGTACACCTTGTCGCTTCAAGGTACAGCAAAAAAAAAAAGCAGGATAAGCTCTGGCTTAGCTCAAACGCTGACTTTACCATTCACCACCTCCAGGAAGCTGGTGGAGGTACAAGTCTATTTACATTAAAACCTCTCCACAAAGCCACTTTGGGAACAAAGATTTAAAGACGTGGCTGTTACAAGAAGGAAGAAATAAATTAAGCTTGAATGGTTCGTCTATTTGAGAGAGTTGTTACGCATTCAGCTGCTCATCGGTTAGTAATTTAAAACTGATCATTGATAAGAGCTAATTTTAGTAATTGGAACGCGCTTTCCCGGCTGTCACGGCTGTCGCGCCGTTACTTAGAGGTGGCCTTTGTAGAGAAGGTAACGAAAGAAAAAATGAATGGACCGTCTGCAGATATTGCAGGGAAGCTCCAGTTGTGGAGAAGAAGCCTTTGGTAAATGTACCACTTAATTTCTTGTTTGTGTTTCTTTAGATGTAAACCACCGTTAGCGATGTGGTCTTACCCACATGCACGATGCACGCGTGTCGTATACAACTACGCGAGTTTTTCGGTCACCTTCTTACCTTTGCTTCCTGTTCAAGTTTTCCATGGTCCAACAACAACTTGTTTCGTTCCTCATTAAGCTTTTGCTGATCTTTGAACAATTTCTGTAGTTTGCCTTCACTCTAGAAGGAACAATTGTATGATCATGAAATACACTTTTTTGCCATTCAACATCAGTATGCTTCGCAGTAAATGTATGTTTTGCACAGTAGGAAAAAAAAAACGTTTTCAAAAGAGCTTACATCACGCAAGTGAAAATACAAAATTGATTACGATGAACAAAATAACCTTTTTTCACATGTCACAACTGATTTACCTCCTGTAAGATTTTTTCCTTCTCCAAGACTCTACTTTGAAATTCAGAAAGGAACTTGTGTAATTCTTCCACAGAACCTGATGGATTGTTTGGTAATGAAAAATAATACAGCACCTGATCACTAGGGTAGCCCTTGACAATTGCATTAATATTTGGCAAAAAGACAAAAAAAATGCTTCTTATAATATAGTGAAGTTCTCGCATTGCTGAATTTCAGGTGCACTATTAATGTAAGTTTACTGCAACATTTTTGGTTTTTATTAAATTCTTTCCTAACTCTGTCACTCTCAAGATCTTTTAAAACATCTAAGAGTGATGAGCATCTAATTTCTCCTTACAGTATCACCCTGAATCACACGTTAAGGTAACGAAAATAAAGGAAATGATTACCGACTACAAAAAACTCCTGATTGTTAAACAAATTCTTCTGGTCAGCACCTTAAGAAATGTATGGAAACAGTATGGAGAATATGCATACTGATCATAGGGTGTAAAAGGCATAAAAAGAAATTACCATCAAAAGGATAATTGATCTTGTCTTTCAAGTCTATCTCTACTTTTGACAGCTGCTTCTTTTCTGTCAACAAAGACTCTAAAATACAGAGGAGAAAATTTATATAGGACTTAAGTTACATGCACATGTAGTTCATTTCAAACGATTTTTGTTAACTGGAATACCTTTGACAAAAAAATTTTCTCAAATAGAGAAAATCACGAACTTCTAAAATATGTCACCCAGGAATGTTTATTAACTTCTCGAAACTTCTAACATACTTACTAACTTATAACCTCTCTTCGCGGATCCGAAGGTCTGAGGTTCGATTCCTCATGGGAACTCAGAATTATTTCTTTGCCCCACGCTCGTGACAAGACGAAAAAACATATTTCTCTATTATACAACCTACTGGTATCACAAGTGATACAAATTAGTATTTGTCTTTGGCAGGCATGGTAATGCATCTAGAAACTCAAAAATATAATATTTTCCACAGAGGTTCAACATTGAGACAGTACTTACCAACTTTTTTCTCTAATTCAAACACGTCATCAGCAATTCCTGCCAGTTCAGCTAACCTCATCTACAACACAATAAACACATTGATTTCGGAAGAAGCTAAACTTGTAACGGCAGCCTATGTATAATCATTGTACAATAAGTAAAAGTGATGTACACAAAGTCAGCCTTCATTACCTCCACTGGTTCAAGTTTTGCATTCAGCCCATTGACCGTATCTTTAGTGGCTACAATCTTTCCTTTGCTTTCATTCATCTCACCCTCTATCTGTGAAAATCAGAAAAATCAGATTATCTTAATATAAGTTAACATGTCAAAGGTGAAATAAAAAATAAAATAAATTATTAACCCTTCACATCCCACATTCCATCATATGATTGGTTTGCTCATGCCAGACTTAAGCACTATTTAGTCAGTATAATACCCAACATGATCATGGTAAGTAAGTTGTGGTGGCTAATAATAACAGCAAATAGATGATTTGATAAAAGTGATAAGTTTACGCCACAGAATTTGCTAAAAAAATTTATTATGACATCACTGAGAATCCTTTCTACCAAACACTAAAAATAAACCAAGCATGAGATTCAGAAGAAATAGACGGCTGCATCATATGTAAACACAAAAATGTCACAAAATTTGTTTCAATAAAAATAAATCAAGATTGAAAAGCAGTGTAATACCTGAACTGCTTTGTCTTTGTTTGCTTTTAAATGAGCCAGTTCTATAGAATACTCTCTCACAGTTTGAACCTGTAAATGTATAATTATATATTGAAACACCAAAAATTCTTCCTGTATTTGTAATAGCAGATGATGTAGAATTGCTTGTTTAGTTTCCTTGCAAGTTATGTACTGGATATTCACTTCTACATGACAATATATATGGTTTAACAAAACCAGGAGAACCATAAGGTGCAAGCAATGGTACATGTAGTCAATGAGAATCATGGCTGCATTCTTAATCCATATACAATATATTACAACATTTTATGGTACTTTACACACTTAAGGTATCTGTTGGCTGAGTATCTACCAACACTGTGAGCCTATGAGTCAACCGAGAGTCCATCAAAACTCAGTCAATATGTTGACAGACTGTCATTTGCCACCTTATTCAAGTTGCCACCATCAGTCACTACTTGGTCAGTATGTCAGTTGACACTCAGCTGACAACTTGACTGTTAAGTTGCTCATAACAGTCAGCAGCATATCAGCTGAGTGTATCAGTGGATTATTGATCAGTGTACTGTCCGTAGTATACATGAATAAAGGGGGTAAAAAAGTCTCTAAAGAAACTGCGGTGCTGCATTGGTGGGAGAGTATAGCGGGTAATTTAGTGTTAAAAACTGAGTTGAAAACAAAAATTGGCCACCATTAAGAGTTAAAAGGTTGATGTTTTGAGCATTAGCCCTTCGTCAGAGCAATTGAAGGAATTGTGGTTTGTGTGTGGGTTTATAAGTGGAAAATGAAGCTATGTTATTGGTGGGAATATGGTGACAAGAAAACAAGAATAAATTAGTTTAATGAAAAGCACTTGTAGTATATTTGTATTGTTAACTATTATTTTGCTGGAATGACAGCCATCTCTGAGCCTCTTTCCCTCACCCACAGGGAACACAAAAGAAGAGTTTCCAAGGACTAGAGAAAATAAGTATTTGAGTAGAGAAGACAGAACTCAGTAGCAAGAGCCAACCAAAGTATCGGCCAAGTGTCTGTTAAGTTTTAGCCAAGTGCCTGTCAAGTATCAGCCAATATAATTATTGACTGACACTCTACAGATACTCAACAAACAGATGCTTTAAGTATACATGATACAATCTTGCTATTTTACTTCTCATCTGGCATCATGCAGAGAATTCTTTCATTGAACTTTAACCCAGATACATAACTAACAACAATCACACCATTTAAAATCGCACTAACCTGTTCTTTTTGAAATTTGCGAATTGCCTCCAAAGCTTTTATGTATCTAATAAAAATGTGAATTAAGAAAAAGTTAAAATCAACTTCTGCAAAAATCACTTACTCAAATAAGAATTCTAGCTTTACCAGAACATGCTAAATTAACCAACTGGGTATTGTAAGAAAATTCCTACACTTTTATTAAAAGCTAATTTAACTTGCTACAAGACATTTCTTATGTTATCATTTAGAACCATATTAGTAAATTTATTCATTCAATAAAGGTACTCTGTAGACAAGCACATACTTCAACATTGAAAAAATATGCAGTCATATGAATTACATGCACCATAATGATTGAATTTTGCACATGGGTCACTTATTTACTTGTGGTACCTCAAGGGAGAGCCCTTACTGGACACAGGGCACTTATTAGGGACAGGACAATTATTTCTTTGTAAGAAAAAGCAGAATGTGTGAAATAAAGTTTTTGTTGATTACCCAAAAATGAACAAAAGCAGAAACTGTAAAAGGACAAATATACACTCAGTAAATATTTTCATTCTAATGAAAGCAAAACAGATTAAAGTCACTCATTAGAATGAGGATGCTTATGAAGTTCAAGTGCTTAATAGAACAGAGGGTGCTACTTAACAAAAACAACTTTAAGGGGGGCATCAAGGGCACTTGATCAAATCATTACCATACTTCACACATTATGTACAGTAATCATGTATACCGTGTGGCAGCAAAGATTTCATCAAATTTTTGTTTGAGCACTTTTCCTTCACTAAGCGGCCTGTAATTAACAGAAATGCATGTTCATGTTTTTCTAATCAGTTATAAGACTCTTGTTCACTAATATGGACAATATGAGGGAATGTGTATAGTTTCTCACAACATACTTACAGTATTAACATAAAAAATGAAACCAATGATAAGCTATTACTAGTACTGTATAATACAACAGGCAAACAAGCCTCCAGTACAAACAAATTAAGTTCTCAGATTAGTAAACTTAAGTGCTTAATGAAACTTACACTAACTTGGGAGGTTTGTGTTTTAATCAAACATAGGACAGAAAATAGGTTGGATGGAACAGGCAAAATGTGTGGCATGTAAGAAACTACATATAATTATTGTAGTATTTCCACTTACTAGTAATTCTGATAAAGACTCCTTCAGGATCAATTAATGGACTTAAAAGTTGATGTACAAATTTGTTTTAATAAATGTTATTTTTCAGGTTTGAAGAAACAATTTATAATAAGATAACTAAAGTAGGAATAACATGACCATTTACAATTTAAGTGCACTTTGGCCACATCTACGTATGATGGAACAATCCCCTGATAAAAGAGCCAAATGGTCCATTAATATGGAAAATATTATTTCTAAAATCAAAGACTAGAAACAAAAATCAACAAAACAATCTAAGCCTTGCAAAAGTTTACAGTTCAGCTATATCATGGTCCTTTGTGCAACGTCAGTTTTCCTTCACTTTAGTACAAATCTTTAATTTATCAATTTTGTCAATTGCCTACCAGTTAGATTCCTCTTGATGGCAAAAAATCACATTATCCAACACTGCTTTAGATACTCCAAGAAATGAAATCATCTGAAATAGCATGCATAAAAAATCAGCTATTTTGCACTGACTGCATGGTACACAGAACTAATTATCATTTATTCATAATTGAAAAAATGTACTATACTTATAATCTAGTTACTGTAACTTGCCATAAAATGCATAAACATCAAGTGTATACATGCATGTGCTTACCTCTCTGTTGATATCAGCACACTTTGAGCTCAAACTCCGTCTCTAGAACAGGCAATCATGATAGCAGGAAAATTCACTGAGTGTCCATTACAAATTAAAAAGTTTTTTTTCTATAACTCTTTCAATGAAGAAATTGTGAACAGTGTGCTGTCTAATAATTTGAGTATAAATTTTTCCAGGGAGTACAGTGTACATTACCTCTCCATGGACCTCCCTCATGACATTTCCCTCTAAAGTTTTTGTTTCAATCTTTTTACCCTATAATGAAAAAACAAATGCATTAACTTTCACATTTGATTTCAAAACACAAGACTATTATCAAATGCCAGTGATGGTACTGTGGGTGTATCAACAACTATCTCTCTTTCAACAACCTCAAAATTGTTTGAAGAGAGCATAATCCATCTTCAAACCTGTGTAATGTTGATAAATATCCTAAGTGTACATACTTTTTGCAGTGAAACCAATGTACGGGTTACAACAATAGGACTACCAGTGACGTCCCTGAATTTCAGTTTTATTTGCCCACGTACTTCTTGTTCACCTGCAACCTTAGTTAGGAGAACAAAAATTGAATCATGACAGCTCTTACATGAAAGGTGGAAATTTTTATAGGTAATGTGTTTTGACAAGTCTTTGAATTGGAAAAAAAGCATGGAAAATTATTTATAAATGGAAAACCATATAACAGAGTCATGTAATGTTTCATTATATCAGTTGTAACATTAAAATCAAAAAGGTCTTTGACACAGTAATCAACTTCATGTCTCATATCTAAACACAGCAACCCTAAAGGAACTGAGCAGTGGAAAATGTATAAAGGCAGATACACTCTAAATAAACCAGCTCGTCAATTGGTCCTTTAAATATAAAAAGTTCTCCTCAATCTTTCTCCTAGAGGATGGCTACAGATATGAGTACAGTTTTCTGTTAATTGCACCCATCTCAGAAAAACAAAGGTTGAATACATTACCTTGGGGTCATGCACAAATAAACTTTGTTTGCTGCCAGGAGGCATGTCCCCTGTGGCCATGTAATTCAGGCATTCAATAACAGACTGTAAAACATAAGACAACAAAAAGTATTGTAATCAGCTATAATAACAGTTAGGGATCAACTACATTGTTTCAAAAATTGTTACTAGATATATTTCCATTAAATTATCTATAGCTGATCAAAATAACACTTTGACTCCCGTGAACAACTAGCAACTAATTTCTCCCTACAATATCACTCCTGAATCAAACAATAAAGTCATGAGAATATAAGAAATGATCACCAACTAAAGAAGCTCTTGACTGTTACAAGAGCTCTCCTTTTCAGCGCATATAAAGAGAACAGGATGGAGAAAATAAGTACTGTTGTTAAGGAGTGAAGGGTGAAAGAAAGTTACCGTCTTCCCTGCTCCATTAGGTCCAACAATCAAAGTTAGTGGCTTCTGAAACTCGATAACACTGGGTTCCATGTGGGAATAACTACGGATTCCCTGAATCTTCATCTTCTCTAATGATGACATCTTGCCTAGAGGTGATTTGCGCAAGACCAGAGGTATGAGTGTAGAGCCACACCTAGCTATCTACCAGCAGTCAAGCCTAAAATCAATAACAGCCTGCTTAATGTAAAATGCACATGTTTCTTGTCTATATGTAAATTTTTAAAACTAAAGTATACCTACATTAATAAATAACTGATTAAGTAAATTAGGCTAATGTTTTCAGTAGTAGTGAGTGACATTTTGGAAACTTGAAAGGAAGTCACAACCAGAGGGATGATGATGACTACATCATGGATTCTAAAGACAACTTCCACTGAAGTTGTCAAAATGTCAGCTCTGACATCAATAATTATCTTATTAAGGAGTACAATATATGGGCTCCTGGTGCACATGATTTTCTATGGTACATGTATTTAGTCCACCTCCCTAAGGCCCATCACATGTCAACATGCTTTATATTGAGGAAGAAGAACTCTATGAAATGGCCACATGAATACATGCAAAGAATGAGAGCTGGGTCAGATTCAAAATCACGCCCACTTTTTCAATCTCAATCCCACCTATGTTGAGCAATATGTTTACCACTGGTAAATTTATAATCCTACTGCTCAGTAAAATAAATTGCCTCTACTTGCATATGGTTCTGATTTTCCGCTTTAGTAACCAAAACGAACTTGTAAGACACGCAAATCTGAGATTGAAAGATAATCTCACCATTTGTTTCCTTCATTTCTATCTTAAAAATTCTCGTAAGCATTCCCACACCTACGTTGATCAACCAACAGGCAGGGTGGCCTTACCAGTCAAGGAACAAGGACATTTAACTATTGGTTCATGCTTTTGCATGCACTATCGAGTTATGGAGCACAAGGAAAGTTTGGAGAGCACAAAAGAAGCGTAAGAGTTGCCCAAGGCAATAGCCAAGGGCAACTCTAGCTTCTTGAGTGCTCTCCAAACTTCCCACGTGCTCCATAACTCGATAGTGCACAGCTAGAAGCATGAACCAACTGTTTTATAACATAGCCGGTGGAATTGTGCATCAAATCCGACGCAAAATACAAACAACAATATCAGAAGTGATTGTTCGCGGACTCTCCTTTTCCGTTGTTTTCTCTTTTTTCGCCTCTTTTAAGAACTCTAGCCCAAGGGAAAAGATCGGAAAATTGTCTTCGTTTTGGGACTGGTGGGCCGAGTCTCTGTTTGTATCCATTAATGTCGCGAAATATATTATTTTTCCCCGCGCTAACAATGGCCGCTCGCGCGAAAAAAAAATTCTGGCGAAGCGATTTGCTCACGCTATCAGCGTGCACTATCGGGATTTTGAGCACGCTTACTTATAGTTCAAATTGGCTACTAAATGACCTTTCATGGCAAATTTTGATTGCAGACGTATGTAGTGCGTTATGCTGCAAAAAGGAAGTAAACTGATGTTATTTAACGCACCAAAACATTCATGTCGTGTTGAAAAAGGAGAACCAGCTGACTCTTTGCACTAGGAATTGATAATACTATCAGTTTCAGCTGATTCGCGGTTGCGGCACGTCTACATATCGATTGTACGTTTAAGATCGCCTACGAAAGACACAAACTGCCCATAAATTTTTTTTGTCAATTATGAAACATATAAAACCTTTGCTTACTTCGATGGGTAGTTCCGTCGAGAAGCAAAACAAATAGCCTCTTTCTAAATGTACTCTGCAAATTCTCCCGCCATTTTAAAAGTCACTTGAAAGGCGTGGTAACTAAGCAATGACTGGTTACAAAGCTTGTATTTGTTTTGGAGTTATCGTTTTTTGGCTTGTACAGAATGGTACAGAACACAGAGTGTTAAAACAATTCATGAATTCGGAAACTCTGATTTTTTAACCCTTAGCAGTTATTTTCTTAGAATGGACCAGCTATCTGTTGACGGTGCTTCTTCCATGACGGAGAAGAAGAAGAAAAACTATGAAAACCTCTGTCCAGCAGTTGCAATGGTATTGTATTTCAGCAGTTGTAAAGAGTTGATAAAACTTCTTGGTCTTATATCTGCCCTTAAAAAGGACCTACCGCCTCATAGTTCCAACTTAACATTTTTTTGCCCTTTCTTTTTATGTATAGTATGGACCCTGTAATGTGGAAGACTTAGAACCTGGAAAAACCATGAAGTGGTGTACATGCGGACTGAGCAAGAAGCAGCCGTGGTGCGATGGTAAGTAAGTTGGTTCTAAAGAGGGAACTGACGGATGAATGGGCTGACTAAGTCTGATTTTATGTATTTCCAGGCCTAAGGAAAACTCTTTTTTTGCATGTTATCAACTGTTTACGGGTTAGAAGGTAATATCCAAGATCACCGTGTTTTATCTCTCGTGGTCAGAAATTCGATAAACTTTTAACCAGCTGTTTGGCTAGGGGGACCTGATCCTAATATTTCGGTATAGTTATCTGTATTTATGTTATTCAAGTCAGAAATTCTGTAGAGAAAATTAATATTTTCATCTGAAAAAATGTAAGTTGCTAAGGTTTGGAGAAGCATGCAACAAACATTTACATAATTATATCCTCACTTAAATTTCTAAGGAAAAACTTCACCTAGAGCAACGTAATGATATCTTAGTGACTGGGTGAACCAATTATTGTACTTTAAGACATGCAATTTAATTGATGGAATGAATCAGTATGGTGCAATCTTGTATTTTTATTATCAATCTTTTTTATTTGATATATCTAAAGTTAATAAATTTATTTTTTTAAGGAGCTCACAAGAAAACTGGTTTCAAGTCCCTTAAATGGAAGGTTCCAGATCATCCCCAAAGAATCTATTCTATTTGTAACTGTAAACACACCAAGAATCCACCGCTCTGTGATGCCACTCATGTAAACCTCCCAGCTGTGGTAGAGACAAGGCAAAAGAACTGTGACAGTGCTCATGATGAAGACATGAAGTTATGTACTGGCTGTGGATGGGTACCAAAGTGGTGAAATAAATATTATACCATATATATATCTCAAGAATAAATGCATTTATATTTCTGGATTTAACACTTGTCAAATGGATTTGTAGTATTTTCATCCATAATTAATTAGAAGGAAAGGAGTTATATAGTTCTCTTTAAATCTTTGTTGAACATATTTTAGATAGAACTTATACAAGTAAATAATTGACTGGAACAAAAGTGCACAAAAATTGAATTTTTATCTGAGAATGATATGTCTTGTCAGAATATAATATTATTTTTGCCTCTTTTTGTCCTGGGAATTTATTTGGACAATTATTCTATCATTATATTACAAATCCAACAGTATGAAACAAGGTAGAAAAATTATGGCAAATTTCATGTGGGATTATGAGAAATGCATAACATGAGAGTCTTCTTGAAGAATAAAATATTTTGTAAAATATTTTACATATTGAAAAATTATATATTTTATATATTGGACAAATTAATTATCTGAGAAATATTTGCAGGAGAGCAGAATCTCCAATCAGAATCTCCTATATACAGAACTATTATTTGTTGTATGTAATTACAAATAAAACAAAATAATTTTTAAAATAAAATTAAGAGGAGGAAACTCATCTGAGTGAGGATTTTCAGCAATTAATGGTTTAGGGGTGTGGAAAACAAATGAGAGGGTTATTCTGAAAGCTTTTTTGATTAAGATCTATGAACCAGGATGGGTTCATGGAGACATCTCTTCCAGCAAAGTTGTATCTTTACATCCAGGTGGGATAGTCTTCAAAGGGACTTAAGCCAGTAGTAATGACTGTCACTAATGCTAAGGCCACCTCATGTTGAGGACTATTTTCACTTGGGCAGTCACACCTTGTGGTAAACTATTACCCTCCTGCCCAAACATTTCCTGTTCAAAAGTTTGAAGTGAATAACATTGTGACAAACTGACTTTCTTATAGAAAGAAGGGAATTTTTTTTATTCAGCAATAAACTAGTCAAATGTACATCACTGATACTGTAAAGTGGAAGAGATTACTCAGAAATCACGTTTCCTCATTAAGGTTTCTTGCTTTTTTGTGTTCTGGTTCTTCACCTTCTTCAAAGAATTCTTTTAAAGCTTTAAGAGCTTTGCCTCTGTGTGATATTTCATTTTTGATTTCTGATGGCATTTCTGCATATCTGAAGAAGAAGAATCAAATGAGCACATTTACATGTTCTTTGACAAAGCATGTTCTTAGATCTGTATGATTTTGTCTGATGCATCTTTAATTGCAAAACAGTTAAATTGAATGGCACCAGTCACAGTTTATTAAACACTTGAAGAGGTAAAATGACACACCAAACTTTAAAGGACATTCATTTGTAATTTGAACAAAAAAAAAAACTCCCAAATCATGAAATAACAAAAAAATAAAGGTAAGCACAAGGACTATGTGATCACCTTATATAAATACAATCATGAAGTTTCATGAGAAGAACATTGGACACAAGAAATCCCCCATCAAATAAAAAATTTACATTTATTTGTGGCAAAGTCAGGATATGAAAATGTGTGCATCTACACGGTAGCTACACATATAATTTTATGTATAATTTCATTGATTTAAAGTGCGTCTACTTCTGTTGACATCTGACTGCTAGGCGCATTTAATTACTAAAACTTACGTCTGATTAAAGCCATCTGGTTGGAAACATGGATCCCATCCAAAATTCCTTGGACCTCTGGGTTCTACAATTTTTCCCTACATGAATAAAATAACTTGTATAATATAATTCACCAAGACATGTAAATAGAAACTTCAAGGAGGTCATTCATCATGACATACCATTGTCTTTCCTCTAAATAGTAAAACAGGGTCCTCAAGGTTTCCTGTTGAATATGCAAAAGTACAGAGTGCATATGCAGACTTGTCCTCCCATCCTGTCAGGAGTCTGTGTAGACCTAAAATCAATTTCAAATTAACATAAAAATTAGTTTTTGGTTAATCATACAAGAGAGTGTATTTTTAATGCATTGGCTTATATGCTTGAAAAATGAACCTGCTGTAAGATGCAGGAAAGTCAGGTCTAAATTATAGAGGGAGGTTTTTCTTTTGTATGTTTAACTCATTGTTGGCATTAATAGACCAGGACTACCCTTCCCAGCTCAGTCTCTTGTGTGGCCTCTTTTCCAGCATAATTATAAAAATTATACTCTAATCCACTCCTCTTGTGCTTCTTTAAAGGATACAGAGTGTGATAGGGTACAGCTTTATATTTGGTTCATTGGTTATCAATATAACCGCTGTTAGCTGCATTAAAACAAAACCAGTCTTACAAAAATGAAAATTAATATCTTGTTAGTGGTTACAGAAATTGGAAATCTTTCCATGTTCAATCATTACAACAATCAAAGTCTATTAATAGTACCTTCAGGTCCTAATTTCTTTAAGAACCACTTCCTAAAAAAAGGGGAAAAAGTTTGGTTCAATTATTTTATATCATCCACTTTTGCAGCTGATTCACAATAAATCAATTAAAAAGTTGTCTTCCAAACTCCACCTTCCCTGAAACCATACACATACCAAGGCTAAATTGTAAGAAATAAAGGCAATTAACTGACTGGTTGCTTCTTTAGGGTCTCTCCCCACCCCCAAAAGGCAATGGAAGGAAGTACAACTGTCATTACAGGTATATGGTCAGAGAGCACTATACCCTTTAAAAATAGGTGTGTCTGAGAAAACAAAAGCTTTAATAATATATAAACAACATAGTTTTAACTATATCAAAAATATATATCTAGTATATATACATACATATACACACACACACACACACACACATATATATATATATATATATATATATATATAGTTTTTCACTAGTTTTTCTAGTTTGAGCACTCTGGCATGGCTTAGATGATCCCACATGTGAGATCACTTGGGGTGGCTATATAGCCTTACCTCCATCCTAGCATCAGCACTGCACTGATGAGGTCCAGAAGGCCAAAAGAGTACTTTCTGCAGCTAGTTATACATATATATATATATATATATATATATATATATATATAGTGAAATATATATTTAATATAATTAAAAATGTCTTCCAACTGGGGTATCTTTGTCACATCTTTCTCTGATAATGATTCTATCATTCATTCAATGCATCAGTGTTTACACAAGAATTACTATATTATACTCACACATAAGGTCCTGGGAGATCTCCTAATGCTGTAAAACATAGACACGTGTCTTCTACTATGACTGGGCCTCCAACCTAACAGAAGGGGATAAATAAGAAGAGAACACATACAACATAAAATCATTATCCCGGATTTTGTTTGATTGAAAATCTGTGACAATTCAAGATTACCATATCTCTTGAAACTATTCAGTTAAGGAAGTGATAACTAAATGTGTCTCAAACCTCTTTGGCGGCAACTTTGCATTTCTCTTTAGATATCTCGTCTGGTTCACCTTGAAATTCAGGCACTACAGGAATAGGGATATGGGTTGTGTATTTAAAATCATCTTCATTAATCCTTTACTGCCTAGAATCAGTGTGAATATTCTCTATACTGTTCTCTATACATTTCCTATGGGTGCTGACAAGGAGAATTTGTTTAACAGTCAAGAACTTCTTTAGTTGGTGATCATTTCCTTTTTTCTCATGACCTTGCACAATTTAGGAATGATATTGTGAGGAGAAATTAGATGCCCGTAACTCTTACCAGTTAAAGGGTTAACTGTAAGTACATATAGGCAATAGATTGAACAGCTGGTTGTCAACAGTGGGTTGCCAGAAAGTACAACTCTCCCTCCCACTTATAGAAGAGAAACTAGGAGAAATTGTTTATTCCTACAATACCCCTCTTGTGGTATTCTGATTGTTAGAAAATACACTAGGAACAAAAAATACTGCAGTTGTAATAACAAGAATAAGCCCATGAAAGTGTCACGCACGCAGTCAACCACACAATTGGCATTAACTTACATACTAAACAATCTTTTTAATAGGTAGCTTAAAAAGGTATGTAACTGCACATACTTACAATCTATATTTCTAGACTCCACTTTCCATGGAAATGAGTCCCCTAAGATGGCAACCACCTTAGGAAATGAACGAAACAGAAATCGAGCCAGAATCAGATCAACGAAAACTAATATTATTCATAACTCAAAGTAAAAACACCTTCTCTCTTGAATTGATGGGGAAATCTACTTTTCTAAGCGTCGATTCTCATCCTAACTCTAACCGCAAAGCAATTACTGATAGCGTTACCGAAGTGTCACGCTATTCAGGATAGCGATAGTGGTTCGATCAAAACGCATTGATCAAAGTATTGAACGCGCGTACATTCATAGACGATTGTTCTCACGATAGAATTCGAGACATACTATGAAAGGTTGTTCTTCAAATTAATTTCTAATTAGATCGAGTTTATCAACTGTGAACGAGAAGATGAGGCCAGAATAAAGAAATCTACAACATAATTTATTTCACTCTACCAGAAACCCCGCTATTTAAAGGTGATTGATCAAAATTAACAGCAATTTAATAAATACTGCTTATCTGTAAAAAATGATAATAGTAACAATTCTCACCTCTTTTAGTTTGTTTTGATTTCCTGTGACAAATGCTAGCGTTTTCCTCGACATCTTCTCGATGACTACTAGATATCGCTGGCGAGGCGGGAAGGATTAATTGGTTCCTAGTGCCTCTCGTACATTAGCTCATGGCATCTTCCAATCAGCGTGTTTTCATCGGTAATTCTCGTTTGCCGATCTTCAGTTTCGCTACGGTTCCCCCATCTGCTCACAGTTACTTAGCAACTTCATTTTAATTGTTAGAAATAAGCGCTCTTGAGGCTAATGCAAGGATTTATAAACACTTTCATCGTACTCTACATGGCTGGTGGTTTAGTATGCACCAAAACGACTAGCGAGGAAGCCATGAGAGGTTTTTGACAGAATTCAGGAGCCCATCACGTAATGGGCTCCTGCAGAATTCGAAGACACCTGATGGAAAATTCTGTTCGAGTATTATCCACTCTCGGCTTTGCCGTAAGTTCCTCGCTTGACGCACACAGAACCGTAGGGCACACACAACCGTAAGGCACACAATAACACCAGCCAACAAGGCCGCTTGATGCCTTGGGAAATGTTATGGGGTTGTTAGTTCATTAATAAGGCGAGCTTTTACCAACCGCCTAAAAATTTTCATAGCTTTTACAATATTTTTATTTCTCATAATATATTTTTAAACGATAAATGAGGAGATGACAGCATGGAGGAGTCACCCCGCGCGTTCATTTGAGAAAAAGAATTTGTTACAAATCAGAAATTAAACCAGCTAATTTTGGACTGTAGAGAACCCTCAGAGAGAATTCTTATAGTTTAGCAAGAGCTTATAAACTTGGGTATATGTTATCGTTGGATTTTCGTGGCGAAAAAAAAATCAGAGAACCTCGCGGTATACTGCATATTTTTTCGCATCAATCAAAGTTCACCTTAAGCCGTGAAGATACAAAACCAACGTGCAAGGTCATAAACAATCGCAGTGAGTATTTCCTAGAAAACTAGAAGGCAACTTGCGTGACTTATTGTTAATTTAACTTTGATGGGTTTTGTATCATAACTCAGCCTATAATTATATTTCTCCTATAGGACATATAACGTGATGGCATAATAAGCTTCCTAACTGAGCACAAAAGGAGCATTAGCATGGAGATGACCAGAAAGAGATGATTTCGTCGAATGCAATCAATTCGAAAACAAACGTGACTTATCTCTTTCGACCATCTAAATCTTGCGTGACCGTTCATTCAGGGTTTCTGTACGGAAATTTCGGTATCTTTAGGCATACAATTATAAACGACAGTAAATCAGCCACACACAACATCTGAGTTTAAAATTAAATTAAAGAGGGGAACTTTTGTTTTCCCTTTTTGATCCTGGTAACAGTCTAGGAGTTCTGGTAAGTATGGGAGTCCAATATAAGCGGCTATGTGTTTTAATTCGAGTTGGTTAATCGACTACGCGTATAATGAAGTCTCCCATCTTTCTAAGGAAATTTAACCAACAGTTTTCCCTTGGAATGAGAAGTGAAGGCTAAATCTTTTTAGGATAACTGCCTTCCGTATATCCGGGTATTCTCTGAAAGGAAGGTGCTTTTTTTGTTGTTGACAGGTTCACATGTTCGTCTTGACATAAAACAAACAGGAACACGATGAGAAACTTTGAACGTGACAAAGGTTTTGCCACCCGCCAACTGATGGTCACGAACCAAAATATGCCAAGAAAGATTTTAGCTTTGTTAAGAACTAGTGAAAAAGAACTTTAAAATTGTAAAGCAATGAGATCAGTCCTGTGGGTAAATTTCGAAATTTCGAAATTTCTAAACAATGCTCGATTGCCAATCGCCGAAAATCAGACTCGACAGAGTAGCGGAAATAAAATCCAGTGTATGTTCGGCATAAACTTTGATTTTTTTTTTTCCATATCTGCAATTTTTTTTTCACCAAGCTCAGTTTACGGGAACTGCATCGGATTTTACGCGAGCCATCACGTTGGCTGATAGATTAAGGATAAAGAAAATAACTGAGTCGAATCGCGTGGAGTACTGGGCATGAAGTAAAATGCAATTATCATCAAAACAAAAAACCGCAAACAAACAAATATGTAAAGCACGGACCAAAACTTTTACAGTGCCAAGGATTTTTATGGAAAAGAGCCAACTTAATGTTGATGCACTTTATATTTTCCGTATAGAGCCGAGCAAAGCTCGAAATCGTGCTTCTTCATAATTCCCTGAATAAACACGGAAGTATTTTACCACGTCCTGGACAGACACGTCCCACAGACATAGTTTTCTGCGGCCCCATTAGCTGCTTTAAGTTTATCAACATCCGGATCTCAAACGCGTGCTTTGATTCGAACCGCTCAAAATGTTGTAGAACTCGATCTGAGTTTCACACTGGCTAAGCTCGCATTGTCAACTGAAAAAACGTGTAGGCACATATAGAAGAAAATTAAAAACTTTAAGCCGGAATATGAAAAAGATAAAAGTCGCGCTTCAGTAAGCGACGTGACTTCTTTACATAGTGTCGTTTAAAATATGTACTTCCTTTATTACTGATTCCCATTTGACCGAATGAGTACTTTGCTATCGCGAGGTCACGTGTGGTGTTTATTTCATCTACAAAAAAACCTCGATGAATATTGATACTCTCAGTTGTAAGCAGAACTTCATGAAAATTTATTAGCTCGCAGGTCGATAGCCGCCGGGTTTGAAACCTATCTCAATCTGTTCAAGTCGTGACATGCAATAGTTGAAATTGCTACCTTCACTCTGAAGACTGTTTTTGTCGCGTAATTCAGCTTTATTGATAACAAGTTTGCTGTTTGCCTCTGAACACTCGATCACAGGGAACTATAACACTTCGTTCGAGTAGCCGACCTTCTACTGCTTTTTGTCATCGTCTCGTTAACATACCAACTTCGGTAGCAAACAAAGGCGACGCACGTAGAATCCTGAGAGGTAATCAAATTTTCTTACTATTATTTTTATCATTTTATAAAAGAATACACAATTTAAGTCTGAACTTCTTAATTCGTATCTATTTGAAGAATTGAGCGATTTTAGGCTGGCTAACTCTGCGAGTGAGGCAAGGTGAGCAAACCAGTTCAAAGTTGCTGTTCTCTATAGAGGAGTGTTCGCTTACCTTTCGTCCATGACGACATAAATTTCATAGCAGAATATTTTAAAATTCAATGCATAACAAACCTTGATACTCAGAGAGTATGTAATGGTGCTGTTTATGATTTCAAACCGAAAATCAGTATTCGTATGAGTTTGACAGTTTTCTTACATATAATTTTAACATGACTTTTTCTCTGTATCTATGTGTAATTACAGGGGTATTCCTTTAAAGTTAGCGTGACCGAATCTCAACATGATCACGCAGAAGAATTTATTTGCCTCATCTCTTCGAGGAATTCTTCTGTTCCTGACTTGGCAAACTATCAATTATAAAGGTAATTATTTTTTGTTTCTGTCAGAAGTATATTGAATAGAACTGAACCAATTATTTTCGCTGAGGTAGACAAGAAGGTGAAAATATTCTTTCATAACGGGATCATTGTATGACCAAACTTTAACATTGTCTCAATTCCGTCTCATCGATCATTCAGCGCATAATTA